TGGGGGCCAAGTTGGTGAAGGGATTGAGCAAAAAAGAAAAAAAGAGAGTAAAAACTTAAGAAAACAGATAACAATACGGTGATTGCAGTGGCAAGGGGAGTGTGTGGAGGTGGAAGAGGGTATAGGAAGGATAAATGGCGATGGGGAAAATAAGACATATTGGGCATCCAACAGAATTTTAGTTGCAAGTAATAGGTGAAAAAGTTACTTTCAAGCAGATGTCAATTTAGTTACAAGAGGCAAACTTTTCTGACAGTTTCTGAACAAAGCAGGGGTTACTGAGAAACTGCTCCTACTGTTTAGTAATTGACCTTGACAATAGAGAAAATTTGAGGAGAGAAGGTGTGCAGAGTGGTAACCAAAACAAACAAACAACAAAAAAAATCACCTCGACTAATACAAAATATCCAGGCACACAGTAGACAGAATATTATTTCTGCCTGGTCACCAATTCTTTCTCATTTGGCTAAAAAAGGGTCATGGAATTAAAATGTATTAGATAGATGCCACCTCTGAGATACTTATCAATAGGCAAACATGGGAGATTTTGCTCATCTAGTGATAAGAATACCTGTATATCAATTTTAATAGTTCTATAGGGAGCTACATGTTAAATGTACCAAGAAAGCAACTAAGCATATATTCATTCATTCATATTTAGTTCATTTTGTCTTATCTAGTTACCACACATTTTACCTTGCATGTAATTGGTTACTCAACATTCATTCAAGCAACGTGTAGAGCCTTTGCTAAGTCTAATCATGTTCAGTAAAGGTTAATGTTACTCCATTTAAAAAGGAGATCCTCCCAGTAAATTTTCTCAGTCTGTAGATCCCAGGGTCTGGAAAAAAACAATTCTCAGACTAGATAAATTTATAAAGTAGGGTCAAATGTAACTAAACTTCTATAAATCTGTTCTTGAATTGCATCATTATAAATTTTGAATACCCTTTATTGTTAAATGCTTGTAGTTTTGCATTTGTGTTCATAAGTGAAATAAAACATTTTTAGTTTTTTATATTTTCTTTTGGTAAGATAATAACTGGCTTCATATAAGTTAAGCTTCTTTGCTTATTTTTTGTTTTCTACAATGGTTTTTAAGTGACAATGGTATTTGCTATTCATTGAATTCATGATATCACTCCTGCAGAACTATCTAGGTCTAGAGTTTGATTTTAGTTACCATTTACAAAGTCCATTTCTTTCATTGTTATTTGCTTAATCATAGTTTGTTTTTTTTTAATTTTTTAAAGATTTTATTTATTTATTTATTTATTTTTAGAGAGGGAAGGGAGAAAGAGAGAGAGAGAGAGAGAGAAACATCAATGTGCAGTTGCTGGGGGCTGTAGCCTGCAACCCAGCCATGTGCCCTGACTGGGAATCGAACCTGTGATGCTTTGGTTCGCAGCCCATGCTCAATCCACTGAGCTAAGCCAACCAGGGTGCTTAATCATAGTTTTTTATTAAAATTGGCATTTTTCTATTTGTGCAGAAATATGACCATTTATCTCATTAGGTTTTCAAATTTATTACCATAAAATTACTTTAAATAGTCATTTCTAGTTTTTTCTATGATAAATCAATAAATTACCCTTTTTTGTTATTTAATTTGATTTTCTCTTCTTGACTATCCTTGCCTAATATTTTACCATAGTATTTTTTCCAGTTTTATTGAATTATAATTGACATGTAGCATGGTATTATTTTAAGGTGTTCAACAAATAATTTGATTTATGTGTATGTTGTGAAATGATTACCACAGTAAGTTCAGTTAACATCCATCACCTTGCGCAGTTATATGTGATATTATCTCAAATTTCTGCTCTGCATTTCGTTGATTTTTATCCATATCTCAATTCTGTATTTCTTATATCCTTGAACCATTGTTCTCTGTCCAGTTTGTTGAGTGACCTCTTTGTTAATTTTCTGAAAACTGTGCAAACCTATAAATTTCCTTGTAAGTACTGTTTTAACCACATATTACAAAATGGGACAAGTAGTACCTTCAATGTTATTTAGTTCTAAATAGATGAGATTTCCTTCATATTCCTTTTTGATTTTATCTATTGTTTAAGAGTTCATTAATACTTCCTGGCGTAGTTAGTATACACATTTGTTTTCCTTTGTCTCAGTCTTTGATTCCAATAATTCTCATCTAGCATTGTGTCCAAGGTAAAATGTCCAGAATCTTTGGACTTATGAAATCAAGCTTTACCACATAGAAAATATCATAGGTTTTAAGAAAAACTATATAACTAAAATAGGATTTTTAAATGTTCACATAAATTTAAACATTTAAATAAAGAACAATTTCTCCCTTTTTCTTTCATGTTTTTTCCATGTAATGTTTTTTACACTACTTTGATCAAGATTTCAAAATATTTTAATGCATCTGAAATTGAAAGATCATATTATTTTGTGAGAATGTAACAGAACCACTTTGGGTTCAATTGCCCGCTGCTGAAAAACTATGACTTCCAGTGCCAGAGTCTTACAAAAAGGAAGGAACTATTTGTTCAAAAGTTATACGGGTTTAGAATAATTGTAGAATTCTACTATTAAATTCCAGTTCCTTTAAAAACAAACAAGCAAACAAACAAAACTCACCCATAAACATACAGTCTTGCCTCCCCTTGACAAAACAGGCCAGTCAGAGGACCGTTTCTCAGGAAAATAACTGGAAGTCTGTAGCTTAGCTGGGAAGATTCCCATCTGTATTCTGGCTTCTTCTAGTCATCCATACTCAGCTAGGCTCCTGCTCTTAATCCAAAACCATATGGCTCCTCCTCATGGTGGACCGGTGGGGTTCCTTCTGCATCCTTTCAAACTATGTGGTCAAGACAGCTTTCTCCCTCACAAGCCACATGGTAAAGAGAGCAACAGCTGCCCCACACTTGGGTTCAGATCCCAGCATGGATCTTCCTCTGTAACTACATTTCCAACTCCTCCCACACTGGGTTACCTCTGCCCTTCCCCATATTTCCTGCCCTTCTTGGCTGACATTGTTATTCTGGACAGGCTTGACACTATGATATAGGAGCCCTGTAGGAGCCACCTCCAAGCCTCTCTTGCAGGCACGGTAAACCCCTTACAAATTAGAGTCACACCCATCTCCCTGGCTCTAAATGCCGCAGGCACAGCTACTTAACATTACTAAAATACTGGTCAAGTTCTTTAGATATGCAGAGTAACTCTCCGTGAGCCTACTCCACTTGTTTCCCTTTGCCCCAAGCCAAGTTAGTGGGGAAGCTTCCCCATTTGGGGGGACCTTTAGCTTAGCACCCCATTATAAGGAGAATAATGTGTTTCAATAGGTTCATAAGAACTTGACTGAAAGCCCTGGCTGGCGTAGCTCAGTGGATCGAGCGCGGGCTGCGAACCCAAGTGTCGCAGGTTCAATTCCCAGTCAGGGTACATGCCTGGGTTGCAGGCCATGGCCTCCAGCAACCGCACATTGATGTTTCTCTCTCTCTCTCTCTCTTTCTCCCTCCCTTCCCTCTCTAAAAATAAATAAATAAAGTCTTGAAAAAAGAATTTGACTGAGACAGTTCTGCAAATATGTTACATATTTTTTCTTTGTGTTTATAATCATAAGGAGGCATGAATGACAAAGAAAATACCTTGATGATGCTTCCATTAAAAAAAATTTAGCCCTGACTGGTGTGGCTCAGTGGATTGAGTGCCTGTCTGCAAACCAAACAGTTGCTGGTTGGATTCCCAGTCAGGGTGCATGCCTGGGTTGCAGGCCAGGTCCCCAGTAGGGGGTGTGCAAGAGACCACCACATATTGACGTTTCTTTCCCTCTCTTTTTTCTTCCCTCCCCTTCTGTAAAAATAAATACATAAAATATTTTTTAAAATTTAAACCTTGACTCATTGTTACAGCTACAACAAAAAAATTCATAAGGTGAATATTGTTCTCCATAAAATTTCATTATTGTTTGAGAATCTACTTACTGTCATTGTATACTAATATTATTTTAATTCTAGGAAAAACTATTTTTAGTGCCTCAATACTACCTAAGTGTGAATGTTGTTCTAATGTCAGTAGGGTATTTGATGATCACATCCTAGTAGATAGTAGGAAGAACTTAATAAATGTAAACAAAAACATTTTAAATTGAACAATGAGTGGTTTTAATTTAAGTATTTTTGGGGTTAGTAAGTTTACTAAAAGAAACAAAGTCAAAACAAAAACATCAAATCAAGTTACCATTTTTTTTTACAAGATGACTGTTCTGTTGCATTTTTAACAGTGACTATAATCTTATGCTAAAAATAAACACATAGCATTTTCCTTTTACAAGCTGGATTTTTTAATTAAATTTCATCTGAACTGCAAGGTTATATTGCAATCTCAAAAAGTACCCCATGCAAACAAGTGATTATATCAACTGGAAAATGTTCACAGGTCTGATGTGGTTTCAAACCACTAAAATTTTTAGCCATAGCTTTGGTGATGATGGTTTTTGTTATGCAGTTTTCTTAACAAATTAAAATATAAAACATAAGGATATCATTGAAAAAATCTAACTTGGCTTGAAGATCGCTGGTACATATATACAGGGTCCGGCAGAAGTAGGCCTGCTTGTGTGTGATTAGTAGGGTAATAATATGGGTGTAATAATACAGTTTTATTTTGAATATTTCTCCTAAAATATCATATGGTGTGCTTGAGTATGATATTGTTATGTTACAGAATTACATATTTAGTATTGTGTAATAAAGAAGGGGTATTACTTGTGCTGGTCACTGTATAACAAATTCTGACTCATTTGTAGCACTTAGGGAGAAATTCATTTTTAAAGCAGTTTTCTTGGCTAAAATGAAAGCTGTATTTTTCTCATGGCTTGATAAATAACACTTAAATGGAGAAAATTCAGTTGATTTTGTGAATAAGTGTATTTTAGGATTTACTACCTGTTTGTCTCAAATTATATTTATGATTAATTCTTTATCCCTACCCCTACCTACCCCTCTATTTTTTTTTCTGTTTCATAGAAAAAATTATGACATCAGCATCCAAAGGAATTCTCCGCCCATTTTTAATTGTCTGCATTATCCTGGGCTGCTTTATGGCATGTCTTTTCATTTACATCAAGCCCACCAACAGCTGGATCATCAGTCCAATGGAGTCAACAAGCTCAGTGCTGAAAATGAAAAATTTCTTCTCTACCAAAACTGATTATTTTAATGAAACTACTATTCTGATTTGGGTGTGGCCATTTGGGCAGACCTTTGACCTTACGTCCTGCCAAGCAATGTTCAACATCCAAGGATGCCATCTCACAACAGACCGCTCGCTGTACAACAAATCTCACGCAGTTCTGATCCACCACCGAGACATCAGTTGGGATCTGACCAATTTACCTCAGCAGGGTAGGCCACCCTTCCAGAAATGGATTTGGATGAATTTGGAATCACCAACACACACCCCCCAAAAGAGTGGTATTGAGCACCTATTCAATCTCACTCTGACTTATCGCCGCGATTCAGATATCCAAGTGCCTTATGGCTTCTTGACGGTGAGCACAAACCCCTTTGTGTTTGAAGTGCCAAGCAAAGAGAAGTTAGTGTGCTGGGTTGTAAGTAACTGGAACCCTGAGCATGCCAGGGTCAAGTATTACAATGAGCTAAGCAAAAGCATTGAAATCCATACTTATGGGCAAGCATTTGGAGAGTATGTGAATGATAAAAATTTGATTCCTACCATATCTACCTGTAAATTTTACCTGTCCTTTGAAAACTCAATCCACAAAGATTATATAACAGAAAAGCTCTACAATGCTCTCCGAGCTGGCTCTGTACCTGTTGTTCTGGGGCCACCTAGGGAAAACTATGAAAATTATATTCCAGCAGATTCATTCATTCATGTGGAAGATTTTAACTCTCCCAGTGAGCTAGCAAAGTATCTGAAGGAAGTTGACAAAAACAATAAGTTATACCTTAGTTACTTTAACTGGAGGAAAGATTTCACAGTAAATCTTCCACGATTTTGGGAATCACATGCATGCTTGGCTTGTGATCATGTGAAAAGGCATCAAGAATATAAATCTGTTGGTAATTTAGAAAAATGGTTTTGGAATTAGAGTTTTCCAACATTTGCACACCTGGCAAATTATTTTAATAAAATGTCATTCAAGTTCTGAGAATGAAAAGAGAGACAACATTCTGCTTTTCTGTCACAATTTATTTTGATCACTATCTTGGGTAACATATATCTTGATGAAGATTTTTAAGAGATCAGCATTAGCAATCACTCCATTTGGTCTTAAATTATCCTATATATACCTAATTATTTGCACTGAAAAATAATTTATTCTTCGTTATCTTTTTTAAACATTGTACACACTTTTATAGTTGTCCTTAATGTAAGTTTGTGATATAATTACTGTTTATACATTGATCATCTGTTTCATCTATTTGGGAAACTAAGATATACATCTTAAAATATGAAACATTTTCACTGAATATTGTCATCTCTAGTTCCAAGTTTGCATAATGTAACAAATGAAAAGTAGTCATAATTGAATTCTAACCTCTTTGACTTCGAAGTTGAGCAAAGTGTATAACTGTCATTTGACCTATTTTTACCTATTTACCATGTTTGTGAAGGCAGAAATAGCCATGTAAATAAGAAAGATAGTAGAGCAGAACTGTTCTATTCAGGAAGCTATTAGATTTCCCATTTATTTTCAATAAGCTGACTTACAAGTGTAGCCATTTGTTCTCATGATCTTAAGTTAAATTATTTAAAGTATTTTAAATATCCAATTTGTTGGAATTTTAGTACCTAGGATATAATCCTAATAACACTTAAGAAAATCAAAAACACTTCTCTTTTTGATCCTGGTAACACTTATTATTATAATAAAAATAATTTCTCATATGACAAAATGATATGTATACATTAAATCACATTTATAAAAATGGCACATAGATGTACAATTTTAATCACATATCAATTTAAAATATTTTCTCTAGCTCTAATTGTTAAAAGTTTTATTTTGCCATATAGACAAATAGACATAGCATTTGAAAAAGTTTGTCCTTTTATTTAAAAGAACCTAAATAAAGTTATTATCAAGAAGTTAAATATAAGATGTAAAACATAATAAAACAAGGACTTAAAAGCTCTCAATATATATGTGTTGAATGAATAAATGAATGAATGACATTGAACACCATGGGAAAAAAATTTTTTTTGTTTCAATGAAGTAACAGTTTTAGTCTATAGGTACTCATTGGAGATGATGTTTTATATTCCACTTTAGTAATTATTCATATTGTAACATTTGACTGTAGCCCTCAGGGCTTTACAGAACCAAATGTTTGTCCTTATATTAAGTTTTTCTTGAGAATTCACCCATGAACTTAGTTGCTGAACTGCATTTCTCCTCCCTAAGGTTAAGAGCTGGATATAAGCAAAGAACAGCAGGTGAGAAATGATGGGATGCTAAGGATTCTTCAAGAAGAGTTTCCCAAAAGAAAAGAACCTGTAATGACTTAACTCCATTCAGGGAAAAATCTCTCAAAATAACCAGAAAGTTCTGATAAGATCTATTTGGGTCTATTTGTGACTTATTCTAATAGCCCTAGTACATGTCAACATCAGTAGAACTCAAATCCACAATCTTCTACATCAAATGGAAGAGAGGCAGATTTCAAATCAGTAAGAAGAAAGTACCGTTTCTAACAGGACTACCATGAGGGAATAAGCTCTCTAGAGCACTAGAAGATTTTGAGCAGAGGAAGATTCTTGTATTGGGTGGAGGATGGTTTTGATATTCAAAATCATTTCTTTACCCATGATTGAATAGGCATGCTGTGTCAGGCAAAGCCTTAAGCAGAGACAAAGATGAACAAGGAGATATCACTGCCTTAAAGTAGCTTACAATTAAGTAAGAGAGATAACAGAAAAGCTTCCTTCGAATCTATGTTTATGCATATCATACTCTCAATGGAGTTTATATGAATCACTGCAAGAAACCAAATTTCCCCAACTGTTTCTGAGCTGCAAACTTCGTTTACTCATTTAACACAATGTAGCTTCCCTCCATATTATCTTTTCTAACCACACTGACTAAAGAAATAGTCTGTCTCTGTGGATACCCTCTTAAATAAAGGTCTCCTCCCACATTTATTTTGTCATGTTAAAACAGTCACATTCATTCATTTACATTTACTTTATCTTTTTTACCTATAAAAAGTATAGAAATAGAAAGAGAATTTACTACATGTTTTAAAAGTTCCTGTTTTCTTCAAAAGCAGAAAAGCCACAACAACCCACCTTTGCTGTGGTGGATGCTCATGAGTTCAATGACCTGAGAAACTTGAGCACATCGCCTCTATTGTTAACTACAAATTTGGACTCATTCTTAGACTGTGATTATAAACACATGCTGATCATATGACCAAAGCCATGGCAATAATACCAGGTGATTAAATAAATGGCACATCTGTATATTGAAAACTCATTACCAAGTCCAAGGTTAAGTTTTCTGAATTTAAGGTGCCAAAACAAATGAGTCAACTGGACCCTTTAGTTCTGGATCCAATAATCTGTAAATTTTAGGGCAGGAAGGGATTATATCAATGTTTACAAACCAATCTCTTTATTCTATTTATGAGTTAACTAGATCCAGAGATAATTACTCAAGACCTGTGTGCACATACACACAAAAACACCCACACACACTCCACAGCTAGTGACGTAGCCAAGATTAGAATGTAGAGGCCTGTATTTCTTAATCCTTATGTTCTTTTTCATAGTGTTTTCACTTTATCATAGAAGTATGTCTCAATTCCTAGAAATGTGAATGCCTAGTTGGTTATTAGGACCTTTTGAGTGATACATGCTACATAGAAGTATGTTGACTTTTGAAAAAAGTATAATTAGTAAAACACTAAACTTGTTAGCATTCTTTCTGGTTTAAATATTTTAGGAGTTGAGCTTTAGCAGAAGGAAATGGGCTTTCACTACATTTTAAGCAAAATGAAACCCTTAAGATAGTGTGTGGCTCTCTCTCACCCACTCTTTTAATGAATCCTGTAGATTGCAAAATTCTATTTAATGATTTCTCACAATGAATGATGTTGATTTGACAAAATTGGCTTGCTGCTAATGGCTATAAAAACAATTATGCCAGGGGATAACTTGTAGATATGAAAATGGAATGGACTATTTAAAAAGTTTTATTTCAAAATATCAAAAATCTGTTACCTTCAATGTTCTGATTATTTCAATATCAATTATTTTAGGCCTTACTAGAACATAGAAGTGTTAATTATTATAGGCCTTATTAATAAGAATATATACTGAGTTCTCTATATCTTGCAGTATTATGCCCTTAAAAAAGGCATGACAATCACATTTTATGACAGCCATAACTTTGCAAATATAAAGCAGAAACTGGTAAAAACTAATATCAGATTGAAATTTTTATATTTACTGCATAAATCCTGATATTCCTAGAATGTCCAGTAACGTTTTCTGTTGTGTGGGCTTAGACAGCTCAGAGCACTGAGGTGTAAAGTGACAGAATATTTAGGAATTATTTGCTGAGCCTTTAAAGTCTTGCCTCCACTTGGGGGTTAAATATGAAAAGAATAAGAAACAATACTATTGAAATCTTTTGCTTGCCTGTTTTCAAACTAGAGTCCATGAGTCTCAAAGTAATCAGCTAGAAAATACCTTTGTATGAATTAATATTACCAAACAAGGATTAGATCCTTACATTATGACTCTGTACTTAAATATGTCCTTGAATTTCCTTGAACACTGATCTTACTTAGGGGAACTTCTTAACAAATTAATTGTAATCAAGCTGTTAAATATAACAAACTTCAGGATCTAAAAGATAAGCTCAATGCTTAACATAGAGGAAGATCTCCACAAATATCATCAAATGAATTTTTAAAATTGCATTCATGCACAATATTTTTAAAAATGTGATAACAGTTCCACTTATTGTACCAGTTAGAGATGATATTTTACATTTTTTTCACTGATCAGTTTGCTGCCTGAACACAAAAGAAGGCATTTTATGTCCTTCCGGTCTTACTGTATTCTAAGTCCCCCAAAGAAGTAATATTTCAAGAAAGTCTATAAAGGACTTGGTACATGTAAACACTTTATTCAAATATTAACATACAGCCCTGGCTGGCATAGCTCAGTGGATTGAGCATGGGCTGCGAACGAAAGTGTTGCAGTTTCAATTCCTAGTCAGGGTACATGCCTGGGTTGCAGGCCATGACCCCCAGCAACCGCACATTGATGTTTCTCTCTCTCTCTTTCTCCCTCCTTTCCCCCTCTAAAAATAAATAAATAAAATCTTTTAAAAAAATATTAACATATTACCTGTTTCAAGTAGGAAAGACAATTAGTATTTAAGGTGAACATAGAATGTAGGCACTGTGAAGGGCATATATTTATTACTCAACTATGCATGGAGAGAAAATAGTTTCTTTTCTCCGTAAATGCACTCTTTTGTATTGCAAACATTGGTCAATTACACTGATTTTTTTCTTGATGTGTCTTATCTAGAGATTTTGTAGCATTTTGCAAATAGGTAAGCTTCACTCCTACCCAAAGTGCTTTCCCTCTCAGTAATTCATATTGAATGCATCTATATTCATAATCATTAGATAGAACAGTTAACAGAACATAAATGATAGCCTGATATCCAGATGTATGAATAATAACAGGTGGGGTTATTAGTTCAACAAAATGTAATTTTGAGAAAGACACTGAACCTCTCCAGACTTTGTTGTTTTTAAGTTTCCTTCCAGCACTACCTCTCTTATCTAAAATCTAAACTAATACATGCATGTATTTGCAAGTGAAATTCCAATGACCATCTCAATTTTTAGAGGTAATACTCCAAGCAGATTTTCCTCTTATTTCTCTAAATAGAGATTTAAAGTATAAAACTGATTATTTAAACCTAGATGTGGAAAGAACCATCTGGTTCCTAGGCCCCCCGACCGAGAATCACCAGAAGTGTTTATCAACACTGATTTCTGGGCCCTGCTCCTGCAATTGGAATCTCATCAGACAAGCCCAACATGGTTTTAATGCATTTCCTAAGTTTTTCTGTTCCATGTATAGTTTGTGAACCACTGGCAGTCAGCAGTTCTCAAACACACATGTGTCTTTGGGACTTCCCTTATGAAAGAATGTTAATAATACACAGCTTCTCATTCTTTGGGTCTGAGATCAGAACTGGAACCTGTATTTTAAAAATCTCCCCAAATAGTTCTAATCTGCTGTCAGGGTTGAGGTCTGCCTCTTAGCCACCAGTTAAATGGGAAGTATCCTATTGCTCAATTGATATGAGCCATGGCCTGTCTTTAGTTTATGTAGAATCTTTCTGAATATGTCACTAAAGTATTTCTCTACTTCAAGAGTCTTGATATTCTCTGTGCCTAATAATTCTGTGCACAAGCATGGTACTGACTAATCTCTTGATGTGGCTCAGGTTATTTATAGTCTCTACACCTTCCAAATTTAAATGGTGTATATATAGCAGTACAGCTCAAGCTTGGATGCACATCTGAAATCACCTGGAGATGATTTAAAATTGTTGATGCCATACCCCACTTCCAGAGATCTGATCCAACCAGTTTGAGATAGGACCCAGAGGTGGACAGTTGTAAAGGCTACACAGATAATACTAATGTGAGGCCAACCCTAGCAATCACCAGTGTGCATAAAAGACTTGAGCAATGCTTGGCCTGGAAAAATTATTAGGAATAGAAATGATTATATACCTTGAAAGAATATCTCTCATTGTCTTTTTAGGCTCTGACTTCATGTTTGTATTTATAACATGAAAAACTGGACTATTCACTTCCTAAGATCCTTTACAACCAATCCTTTTATGCTTCCATGATTTGCTTATCCTGTGCGTGTTTAACAGACCTCTTTCCCATGTCCCAAAACCCTTGTCTGATGGGTTTGAGAGGTAATTGGGATGTAACAACAAGATAGAGTATCTGGATCTGATGACCACAGATTTAGAATTAAATCCTAGTTCTGCCACTCACTCACTGTGTGTAAGTTACTTGACTTCTCTTAGCCTCAGATTTTCCATCTGTAAAGTAGAGGTAACATCTTCCTGACTTTTTTTGGTGAGGACAAATGAAATTATATTTAAGTGACTATATAACTTGTTTAATCCATATCATTTATTATAATAGAAATCACTGTGAGGAGTCCAAATTTATTTGCACAAATTGTTCTAAAACTCTGAAAATGTTAAGCAGATAGTTTATAAGAATCATTTCCAATTTAAATAACTGAAAGGAATAATCTTTAGGAGAAGGGAAACAAGTAAATATAGTGTAGAAGTATGCATTTATGTCTTTTTCAATTAGTAACCAATGGAAAGGGTGTGGGAGCTGGCAGAGTAGTGGTGCCTAAGCATTACTAAACATATACACCTTTTCTTAAAATAATCATAATCCAAACAGGCCTAATTTTTTCCTCACTGTTATGAGCAATCAGTAAATTAACAGTTAATTTAGTGTATTATCAGTTGTGTAGCTCAAATCACAGAATGCAATAGCAGGAAGATTATCAGGGATCATTTTCTGGTAAGGAAATTGATCTAAAAATATTCAACAACTTGATTTAATCCATCATTTCAACTGATCCACTAGCTTATCCCCAAAGCCACTTAACGATATAAGTTAGAAAACAGAATGAAATCTCTATCTACTAATATTTTCTTAAATTTAAAAATGCTAAAAGTTACTTTTTAAATGATATTGTATAAATTCAACAAACAGGAATACATTTGTTTAGTGGTGCAGCAATAAAAAAAACTCTTAGCCAGACTGTGATTAATTCTACCCTAATTGTTAATTGCATAATAAATAGAATCTTGACATGAATAAGCTCAACTACTTATGTATACAAGTTCTAAATTGTACTGTAATAAAACTTAAAAAGCAAACTTAAAATTTTTTAAAAATTTATGTGTGGAAAAAATAATATTCAACATAGCAATTTTTTATTAGTTCCTACTTGTCTTACTTTAAGGAAATTAGGAATGTTTATTTCAGATACAACATTAGAAACCTTCAAACATTGAGGGGTTTTTAGTTCTCTGGCAAGCATATTGTTAAATTAGCCGTGTGTGTGTGTGTGTGTGTGTATGTATGTGTGTATACACACACACATATATATATGTAAAGTATGTTAAATTAGGGCTTCTTGGATAGCAAATAGAAGATTGATCTGAAAAATTTTAAGAGTGACTTTTGTAAAGAAGTATGTTAACTACAGTGACTCTTTATACACTTGGCTGCATTCCATTTGGAATAGAAAGGGTGTAGTAGATAGAAGAGCAGGCTTGGCAGAAATGGTACACAGTCTAAATTAGCAGCTCAGTACTACTCATTATGCAAGAACTATTGCCAGCAATCAAAGTGCATAGCCAGATCTTAGCTTGGCCTCATTATCCACCTTCAGTCCCTTAGATGAGACAATCTTGAAGATGCCATCCTCATCTAAGGTGAGATTGCCAAAAGAAATCTCACTATCATGTAGGGCAGAATATGTGACTCCAGAGACTGTTATTAGAGCAGGCCTTTCACATTCTGATTTTCTTCTTTAAGAGCCCTTGAACAAATTGAGAATGTCTGGTTGTATGTAAAACTGGGACCAGTTCACACTTTTAGAATACAGGTGACCTCTCTCAAGTATTTTATATATTTCTTTACAGTAATAAATTGAAGGACAAAGACTACCATACCTGAAACCGGCAGTTTATTTACAAAGAGAAGCTTTCAGCTTATCGATGTTTTACATTCAAATCAGTAAGAGCTCTCGCCCTATAGATTGACAGGCTCTGTGACATTGGAAATGGAGACAGAAAAAAAGCATTGGAAAATAGTAGTACCCTTTTTACTCTTCATTAAAAATTTTAATCTCTAGAGCTATCACCACAAAGGCACCCTTCAAAAACATTATTTTTATTCATGTGGGTTTTTTTCTTCCTTTCTCATTTCCTTTTAAAAGGTTTGGTTGGTGGGAGTCAAGGTTAGTGAAGTAATTATGACAATATAAAAATAACATTTTCATATTATGTATAGGACAAAAGAAAGAAGGAGTGCTTGCTAAAGGAAATGCAGTCAAAATGTTAGTCAAAACTATTCCGAATAAATTAATGAGCTTAATCATCCTCATCGGAATAATTATGGTTTATTCTGAAACCGCACAACACAAACGTGTCATAAAGGTTTGTAAGGGCCAAAGTAAAGAGCTGACAAGTCTAAAGGTAGATTCAAGTACACAAACTGCAGAAAGGAGAAAAGTGCTGACAAGAAACAAGAAAGGGAGCAGTAAACTAAAGATCAGAACCCAAGTTCTAGTTTGCACAATCTCTTGAATAAATTCTCTAGCTTTCCTGAGCCACACGTTTCTGTCAATGGAATGTGGTGGACTTCACATTAAAAATTACCCGAGAAACTCTTCATGAATTTTAATTGCTTCATTAGACATTCTGTTTTAATTATCCTGGCACAGGACATGCCTGCCATATATTCTTTTAGAATGTTTTTTCTTTTCTCCTTCTCTCTAACATGAGGCTATGTCACTGTTCTGTGAGCCATAGAGAGGAAGGAAAGAAGTTACCACTCAATTGCTTTAGGAGCACTAACTAAAGGGTTGCTAAAGAAGAAAGCTGCAATGGAGTTTCGCAAAGGAAGAGTGGGGACTTTACACACTTCCTCTTATTTCATTTCCTCAAGAATACAAGGTATATGCCTATACCTTTTTTAGGTAGTTTAAGTATAACTTTGAATAAGATGATGTATTCAATTGAGGAAGGTCAAAACGATCATGGTGAAACAAAATGAACAAAATGTGCCAATTCTAGCCAATATTGTAAACTGTAAGAGTAAGAAATCCATAAACTATTTGGTAATTGTATGTTTTATTAATGTAATGTGATTTTGCACTATTGTATTGTCATATTTAAGCAGACCCTAAAACCTAAATGCCAAATGTACAGTTTATAGATTCATGTTATTTCTGATAAGGATTTAATTGCATTGTGCTAATAGTTGTTTAATGCTGTTAACTTTCTGTACGTGTTATTATTGTGATGCAGACCTATAAGGTTATTGTAAGCACACTGATTGATCATCTGGATTTTTATAGATAAAATCACACATTGATCAGAAATCACTTTTCTACTTATTTTTTTGTAGAGTATTTTTCCACACTTGAAAAAACATGATTATTTTATATCAAACATCAGCTTTTCTTTAAAATTTTATTTTAGTAGCCAATGCATGTTTGAAATAAAATGTGTTAGAAATTAAATGATATTAAGGTTGTGTTATATTAGGGCAAAAATGCATGCTGTTGGTGAATCATGCAACTCTGGGGGAATTTACACTGCCAGTTCACAAGCAGGCACGCCTCAATCCATGTGCATGATTCACGTCCTTTCAAAAGTCATTTTTAAACTTTGATAAAGTGAAAATGTTATTCTTAGTGCTGATGAGCCAACAGACAAAGCTGCTTTGTCTTTTTTCTAATACTGCAGCGTATTGTGGTAAATTTGCCGCCCCCGCCCCCTCAATTTTCTCCTTGCAGTTGCTTGTTGGCAATAAAATACAACAAATAAAATCATTTGTTGGCAAAGGATACAATTTACTGCATAGCAACTTACTATTATAAAGCATGAAGATGTGGGGAAAAATCATCTTAATAGTTCCTTACTATAACACAATATTCTGGCAGCTTTTTCTACAGTCAAAAATGATGTGTCTTTTTTTTTTTTACACTGCCAAAATCAATACTACTGCCAGAGTGGAGGTAACTTGAGGCCAGGTCTGCACAACACCAAATTGGGTAGTAACACAGAGCATCCACACAGTGTGGACAGCCAATCAGTGTAACAGGTAGAGGGGAAAAGGAAAGGCAATCCCAATCTTTTTTCTCAGTAACTTGGGTCATTAAGGAAAAACAATTACATAGAAAATATGAATTTTGGCTGCAGAGACCAAGCCTCTACATGCTGATAATTTGCAGTAGTCTTTAGGAACAGAAATTATTCAGTGAAGTTTTGCTTCTGTGTTCGTTTTGTGTTCTTTTTTCAGAAAATATACTTGTGCTTTTGAAAGGGCTCAATTTCAAACATAATATTGTGGACCAATGGCCACCAACCCAATGAAATAAGTCATTTGACATATTGTGGTAAGGCTAGGACATAGCACTTGGTGACTTCAAACACCAATGTAAACATTTACACTTTCAGAAGGTAATTTCATTGCTATGTTATTAAAAGAGCAGGGATCCTATTTATGTATTTATTTATTTACAGAAGTTTGCTTCATTCAAGTTCAATTTTAACAGCTCAGTGAAGTTAATATAATGGTACGAAAAGTTGACTCTAACTGCTACCCCAAGTGAAAAATCATGAAACAGAGCCTTGGTGAACTCTGGAATAAAGCATGAGTCCAGACGATGAGCAGTCAGTCCAACTTTACCAACCGGGATGTTGATGTGTCTGACATTCGATGAGTACTGATCTGGGCTCTTAGTTTGCTATTGTATTGTTGTACCTACATAGATTCAACCTGTAAATAACATAAAACATTATGGCAGCTAAGCAAATATTTTAATAAACCATGAAAGGCAAAATGTCATAGGGAATCTGTAAATTCAGCTATTTGGAAAATTTGTGTTTTCTACAAATTATAGAGTTATTTGAAATTTCCTTTCCATAAAATGCCATCACAATGTAGATTCCTGTCCATTGGTGTCTTTCTAGGTTTATAAATATGTGATATAATCGTTATAGTTATAATTTTGTGAAATTATGTTCAACAAGTAATATTATTTCAGCAATCTGTGCTAAGATCCCAAGGCAGAAATAAATGTGTAAAGGACTTGAGCCTATATGTGTAAGAAGAAATCTCTTCAATCATATTCCTATATTTAATGTAAGTACTTCACTGATTTACCACTCAAGTAATTCCTTGGAAGTGTAAATAATGATGTTCTATTCGGACTTAATGAATTCCTGTACTGTGAATATTTAAAATAAAAGAATTCAATTTCAATGTGCAAAATAGTTGGTGCTGGTTATTTATAATGCTTATATTCAAAATCATTCACTTGAGAAGATCAATTTTCAGTTACATGTAAATCTAGATTTCCTATATATAATGAATTAAAATGTAAAAACCAAATACATAGATTTTACAGATTATACATTTAGTACAAACCCCAAGTAAAAAATGACAGTGTACATATGTACACTGTTCTACACTAGTTTGCTTCCTTAATCTTGCATTATTGTAATGGGCTTGGAGCTGCTTAGATCTATTAATGATTTTAATTTGTGTGTGCAGGTGTGGGTAGGAGAATCTATCCAACTGTCTTCATTCAGCCTTTACTCCACCCAGCTTGGAAGGTGCGTCATCATGCATCCTCACCTTCTACTACACTTCATACTCTCCAGATTGTTTTTATTCAGGGCTATGCACAACAATTACCCAGAGACTGAGATCCCAAATGTATGTATTTATTATGGACTTCTTTCTACATATATAAGCCTCAAATTTCCAAGTTGCCTACTGTCCTCCAACATCCTGTAGACCCCTTGCCTTGGATAGCTCACTGCGAGGGGATTTCAACACCTAGTACTCCTCTAGTTTTGTATTCACTTAGGGGCACTATTACAAATTATGTTGCCCAAAAGCTTAGAAATCATTCTTGATTCTTTCTGTTCCTTTTCTACACATCCACTTGCCCATGAAATATCTTGTAAATATGTCCTTTTCCTCCCAATCTACTGCCATTGCTGCATTTAGTCAATGGGACCTCCACCATTTTTTACCGGGACTATAAAGCAATGGCTTTTTAAAGGTTATTTAATCAATTGGTATCAAGTCATATATATTTCTTTAAGTTTGGCTTCTACCAGTATTTCTAAGCTCTTATTTACCCCTCTCTTATAATGCTATGTCACATTCACTCTTCTCTGATAGCCCCCACACCCACCCAGTTCCCAGGCAGTTTCTTTGCCCAGTGAACTTTCAGCCTTTTTAAGACTATGCTCAAGGGTCACGTCCACTATGATACAAACTATATTCTATATGTCAAATAGTTTTCAGAGGGTTCAAAGGGCAAGACAGCAGGTAAGGCCATTGGTATTTCCATGGAAAAAGTGAGTTCTGAAATAGTCCCTGAAGAAAGAATGCAATTAAACAAGATGAGAGGATGTATGGATAGACTTTCCAATGGGGATATGAACAAAGTCATAGAGGCAGGATCCATTGAATAAACCTGGATGCTTTTAATGGTACAATCACTAAGAATAATGTTAAATAGGGCATTGGGGTGTTCAAAATGAAAAGATTAGAATGTGGAGAGCTTGACACTCAAACTGATAAATGTAGACTAGGCTGATTGATTTGATTCAATGTATATTGCAGCATGATGTAAAGTCATTGAAAATTTGTAAGCAGATATAGAGCGTGAACAAAGCCACAAATATCTTTGTAAAACTAATTCATTAAAAATGGAAAATAGCATCATACATCTTATCCATCCCCATGTTCAATTCCAGTGTGTTTTAGTAAATAGTATTTCACTTTAGCTGGAGAGAGGCACTGTGGTTTGGAGGCTTGATGTGTCAGTTGTGGATGAAGACTGCTTACATCCAACTTTTGGCATTCTCACCACTAGCTATGTGGCCTTGGGAAGGTTATATCAACTTTCATCACTTCAGATTCCTCCCTTAGAAGACAGGAACAATAACAACACTTTACTTATGGCATTGTGAAGATTAAATGAGTTAATGCATATAAAAGAGTTGTAGTAGTACCTGACATAGCACTCAATAACTATTATATTAAAAGCAACACATTTTCCTAAAACTCTTTTCTTTAGTTCTCCCAGTCTCTATTAAACCATCTTATCCAAAAAATATATTGCTTTTGTTAAAATCTTAGATTTCCAAATTATTCCTCTGTTGTTGAATAGTAAGAGGAAGTCCTTTTTATCATAGAAAAGAGTTACAGAACATGACTGGGTGTATACACTAGAGACAGGAAGAACACTGGTTTTTGGTTAATTTACAGTCAGTAGTCAGAGGCTCTGAAACAAAAAATGCCATATAGACCAGGTTCTGTTTTGGGAATTACCATACCTACAGTAAGCTGGTGATGTGGTAACTCAGATTGTACCACATCGCAAGCAGTCTGACAGACTTCCTGGAGCATAGAACTGGTTTGGAGAAAATGGAAAATTTCAGGGCAGTTCTGTCTTCCTTGTCTTCTCCCCCTCCACTGTATTCTTAAAGAGAACTTAAAAACTTCAGGATACCTCTAACTTTAGGTTGCCATAAAACTCAGTTCCCAGAAGCTACCAAGGACATGAATCCCTACAATACACAGTTAATGTATAAAAGGGCAAATAGATTATTCTTGAAGGCTTAACATACCTCTGGGATAGCAAGATTGTACCATAATATGAAGTATTGAGCACAAAAGCTATCACCAGACCTAAAACTTGAGATTTTAATTATGCAAACTCTAATTACTTCAGTAAAAACACTGTTTTTAGAGATTATGAATTTAGAAGCTCAAGAAAACATTTGCATGACCATTAGGCCATTCATTAAGTTTGTTGACACATGTTATTTACTTTAGTTAGTAACCATGTTTGCAAATGATTTCTCTGCCTCTGAACACTGCATCAAATGGGTCCCTTAAATCTATGTCCCAAATTAGGCTAGTGTTCAACACTCATGCTTTGTGATGCTCATTGACTAAAAATTGGGTCAGTGGTCAAAAACACTTGAAAAAATGCTTTGCAAAATATTCCTTTTTAGAGGTTCATGCTGCACTTTCATATATTAAAGTCCATAAGGCATTCTTCAATAAAGAAGTGTGTTTACTTTTATTTAACCCAGTATTTCTCAAATACATTCTATTGTAGAAACTCTATGTTCCTGAAATGCTCATTTGCATCCCCTAAAAATAGTTATCCAAGCAACATTCTGAAAAAATGCTGCTTAAAGGCCAGTTGTTTTTTGCTCTGATGCAACCTGAGTAGTCCTTGATGCCTGCTTTTGGCTGGACTGGACTCAACAAATCAGAGTGGCTCTGTATTCACATCCTGGAAATCAAAAGTCCTCTCCAGGAGAAGTTTCCAATAGTTCTATGAGGTATTTGCCAATATAACTGAGCACATTCAATTCTCTCATTAGACTACCTAATAAAGTTATCCCTAGTGTATTACATGAAATGACCAAAAAAATGAAAAGCTCATCTTCTATCTTGGAATTTGTGAATGTTAAAAGAATACACTAGCCCTGAAATCAGTACAAAACACACATTGACAATGAGTTCTATTAAGCAAAGTCCTTGATCCCATTTCCCCCCTCCCACTTTAAGCACCTCTAGACTCAAATGTCTTGCAGATATGGTCTTCTTAAGTACAGTGGGAGAGGGCAAACTGGGAGAAGCTGAGATCCAAAAATAGTGCTGCCAACTGAAGCAGGGCAGGTACTAAGGGGTAAACCGAAGTTTTAGATGATAAAGGCAAGCTTATTCCAATAAGTACAGCATTATGTGATATTCATGGACTAAGGCAACAGACAATAAATGATTAGACAATAATAAGTGATTAGAACAGGGCATAGAGAGCAAATATATGTGTATATATGTGAAACAAAGTACCCACATATAGAACAGGAGGCTGGCTCATAGAAGGCTGGGAGAAGAGGGTCAGGGTAGGCTCATGAAAGGCAGACGTGTGTTCTTTGTAGACCAGGACTTATATGACATCAGGGACTCAGAAGGAGACAGACAAATGGGAAACCCAGAAGCTTGGTGAGCAGAATGGAAACCAAAGGTGAGGCCACCTTAGACGGCCTTAGAATCTCTAACAGAAATCAGCTCATTTTCAGACAAAAAAAAATGGAAGCAAAATGTCACCTAGCAAGTCATTCATGTACAAGACATAATGTTCCAAGAAATCATATGTTCAAAGAAATAGAAAATTAGGAAGGGTATAATTTATTTAATTCTTTGGTGATAAATTTATAATGAATTTGAAATGAAAGCAGTTTCTTTCCATTGTAGAATTATTGCGTGAAAGACAATCACTTCCCCCTCTCACAGAACAGTAATTTATTCATTCAACTAACAGTTACTTAGGGCCTACTAGTTGCAGGAAACAGTACTTTGTTTTTAGGAGACTATAGATGAGTAAGACGCAAATTCTGTCTTCAGATCTTCCATGATTTATCCCAAGATAGAGCACCCATGCGGTCAGGGGAGAAATCACAGCAGCAGGAGGGAGAAGTGCCCGTGAGAAGACAAAGGATGGACATGGCATTTGAAGTGAGCAGGACACGTGTTAGGACGTGAAGGGAAAGACTGCCAGGAAAAAGAGACATGATGACTTCAGCAGAGAGAAAGGGAAGTGCAGAGAAGAGATAGAGAATCCTGTGTAACTGTAGCCTTAAAAAATAAAAGTAAATGGTGTGGAGATTGACTAATGACATGGGGAGGAGCAGGCTGGGCAGAGGAGGAGCAAAGGGGAAAAGTTGGGACCACTGTAGCAGCATAAACAATAATAAAAAATAAATATAAATAAATAAAAATTGATGTCCCTCATGAATAAGTAATAGACAATTTCTACAGGAAAATGGCCAGTGTCTAGTAAATCCAACATATAGTAAGAAAAGCAATATTGAAATATTGTTTTATATCTCTCACCAGTTTTGAAAATAAAAATGTCAAATGAATGCTGACAAAATTGTGGTACAAGTGTATTTCCATATTGCTGGAGTTCTAAACTTTATACCCATTATGATAAACAATATAAAATATATCAGTTACCATAAATAGTTTAATATTTATTTCTCCAATAAACATTTTTATCATATGTTCTAAGAAAATAACTTAACAATTGGGAGACAGCTATGTGGACCAAAATATTTTTATGTTTTCTTCATTATGCATAACAAAAAATGTGAACAATTCAAATACCAAACAGCACATAAGGGTTTTATAACTCACATCACTAATACATTATAAAACTCCTTGTAAGTTAA